TACCACTACTACTAGTAGTGCTACTAGTGCTACTAGTACTACTAGTACTACTAGTACTACTAGTACTACTAGTACTCTTAGTACTACTACTACTACTACTACTACTACTACTACTACTACTTCTCCTCCTCCTCCTTCTCCTACTCCTGCTGCTACTACTACTACTACTCTACTACTACTACTACTACTACTACTACTACTACTACTAGTAACTGCTGTTGCCGTTGCTGTTGCTGTTGCTGTTGCTGGTGCTGGTGCTTACTTTGAACGAGGATCGAAGAACTGCGCCAGTCCCCCCAAATAAATAGAGTTTGTGCACCTTGCAAAGCAAAGCCACCCTTCCAGGGTAAGTAAAACTAGCTTTGGTCTGCGCCCCGGCTAAAACTCAAACCGGGTAAACGACAAAGACCGAAACAAGAGCAGGTGATGTCCGGAGCTGTCAGTCCAAACCAACGACGCGGTCTATGCAAAACTACGAAAACCAAGAATATGCTTAGAAACAAGCTTTGATCACTGTATCATGTGCATCTGCACTCGTTGCATCTCGTTGCGCACAGTGAGATGGATTATGCCACATCGTAGTCGCAGAGCGAAGTGACGTTACATGCACCGAAACAGGATGTGCATGTGTCGAAGAAATGCATCGCTGACCATGTTCTCTGTCGGTCCACGAGTGTCGGCGAAACCAACGTCCATCAGCCTCTTGTCCTTTGAATTGAACAGCGAGGCTCCAAAGGCCACTACTCGGTGTCTCAATGTATATCGAAAAGCGACAGCACGGGCTCCAACATCAGCTTTGACTGATCCGCCTCGGCCATGCTTGGGCCGATTGTCCCACTGTCCGTTTTTCATGCATCATTTGAGAACTCCTGCGAAGTTTGTCCAGTTCTGTCACTGAGTCTCTCTTCTCATCCATATGACCGTGCAAAAACTATCGCTCAGTTGCACGGTCGCACTGTGTCTGTTGATGCTGCTGTTTGGCCTGAGGTGCCCGCAGAGACTCTGGAAGTGTACACACCTTGAATGCCAAATCCGGGCTAGGAGAGAACAGTCTGCTTCTGGAAAACGAGATAGCGCGATCAACAAGGCACAATTGCACAGGCGAAAGCATCCTGAACCCCAAGTTGACTATCTACCCTGCAGTCTTCCTAAAGCGCCTTGATTGCGCACAAAGAAGTGAACGCCAGGCTTGAGTCTCTGCACGGGATCAGGTGGACATCTCTCTCCAGCCCCATCACAGCGCCCAATGCACGTTGCAGGAGTTCGCCCCGCCCCGCCACAAAGTGGTCGAGTTTCAAACCCCCCCCCCGCCCTTGAACTTGGATTTCGGGTTGCCAACCCCTACGTCCAGACATTGGGGGAGGCTGGGCTTGCCTGACCACTCCCCCCGCCGCCCACCCTCTGTCTCCCGTCCAGACCCACTGCCACACCATCCACTTGAGATGCTCGAGGACTTCAAGTGTAGCTCTTTGCATCACTGGCTCTGCAGGCAAATTTCCCCTGTCCTGCTTCAGAGGCGGACGACGCGAAGCGTTTAAAATTACAAACAAGCAGGAAACGAAGAAGATCCCTGCCAAGAAGTGAGTTGACTGAGAAGCCGGCCGGAACTGAAATTGTGTCGCTGTCAAGAAGCCATGGCTTCATGGCCTTGGCATACACAACGTGGTGTATGATGACTGGGAACCCTATTGAAGTCTGAGGCTGGTGTGCAGTCCCGCCAAGTGTCACGCTCTAGGCTCGCATCCCATGCTAGGCATCCAGCGCCATTGTAATGCAATATTTTTCCGGTGCTGCTGCAAAGCACAACCTGACAGCTTCAAAGTGATTTTAAGCCCTGCCGGAAGGAAAAGGAGTATTTTGGAGAAAAGCATTCCAGCGAACACCGCAGAACATCCGAACGCATCCCACCCTGTGAAACACATGGCCCTGGAGAAGGGAATGAAGGGAGCACATCCACTTCTCACAAGATGGTCAATCTGCGTCTCTGCTCCGACACAGGGACTGTGATGTCTGCGGCTTTCACTATGAAATGCAGGGCAGCATGTAAGGAGAGCACATATGGGTTCAAACCATTGGCAACAGGCTCCACCTCAGTCCGCCGGCTTGTAGGGTTCTGCATATCATAAGTCCGACGATCCCACGTCATCTGAATAGACTACACAAAAGGAATATCGACTTAAACACATGGCACTGAAGACCCTTGGTTCCCGACATGCAGCTCCTGCAGGTGAGTGTCTTCAAACCTGCAAGCTTCCCGTTGATTGTGCTCGGAGACCGTGAGTGGGTCAACGTGCTTCAGTCACAGCAACTCTCCCCAGCACATTAGATGCAGGCCCGAGATTTCGCAGCACCGCCGCCTGAAGCAGGCTCGGAGTCACAGGACATTTTCATGTACGAGTAGCAGTGCTAGCTGGCCAGCAAGGACCAGCAAGGACATGAAACTCATGAAACCACCCCGCCCTGCGCCTCCGCCGGGATCATGGAATGTCGCCCCAAGCTGTTGCAGTTCCAATCCTCGAACTACAGTGTTTTGTGCTTGGGTGTGTATGTACAATCCGAGACAATTGGATAGAAATGTTGTACTTCTTACAGGGTGGTGTCGATTTCGTAATGCTACAGGTTCTGCTCCACGTCGCTGCCGGCTAACTAACGAACACAACGCAAGAAAATGCTTAGGCAAAGGCATCCGACAGGCGCGTATAGTTTCCGTTCATCGCAAGCAGCCATGGTGGCTGGGACATGCCACCGACCTGCAGCATTCTGATTTCCGTGCAAGGGATTGCGGATTTTCTTGCATTATCTTAGCTGCCAACCCAAAGGTCCACGTCGGAAGCGCGATACACATCCTTGGCCAAAGCAAGCTTGTGCAAATCTACTCAGTGTTAGAACGGTCTTCCATTCTTTCAAGCTCTCGGCCAACCAATTCTCTATTGACTCTGTGATCTTCATAGCACTCCAAACTTGAACCTGGCATTCGCCATGGATGCAAATCGTGCCACAAGTTTAAGATGTAAGCAGCTGGCGTCAATGAGAAGAAGCCCTCGGTTTGCGATGCAGGAATCCGGGTCGATCCTGGCTGTCACGGCCAGCTTTGCGAAACAGCCAAGAACTAACAAGACACGGCCCGTCCGCCCTTCATGGCCGAGGCTGTGGAGGACATCAAAGTTGATGTATGTTTTGAGCCTGGATCACGAATTCGAGTCAGGCTTTCGGCATGGTGAGTTTGATGCGGCACCGTTTTGGGATAAGGGGTCAGACCGTTGATGGCAGTAAGGCACGGCAGCGCAAACTTTGCCCTGCATGTCCATGTCCTCAATCAACAACATGTACCACAATCTATGCAGAAACGCCGCCGCTGCTCCTGCTCATACACAACCTTTCGACGCATCTGCATAAGGCAGCGACAAAGAGCTGGGCGAGGTCACCGAGAATAACAATGTCTGCGTCGAAGTATATCAGCCTACCCAGGGATGGCTCCCTCCGGTAGCAGCTGCTGCTGCAACGGGAGTGACGAACAAACGATCATTTGGCTACTGCACCTCCTACCATCGCTGACTGTCGCGCGTGAAACCTATGTATGTCCAAACTGCGTACCAAGCCCAAAGCCAAAAGCCTTGCCTCGACTGTTAAACATTCCGTTTTTGCTGTAAGCTCCGATTTACAAGTCGTGCTATGTGGCCAGCTCTTAGTAAATTTAACTTGGAGGGCATCGCTTTGCTGTTCTGTGGCAATCTCGGAATTAGCTGTAATGAAGAATTCTGAGTTGCAGCGGCCTCCAGGATTGGTCGGAATTTTCGAGGCCAGTTTTCGGTCTGGCCATGGTAATGTTTGGTGGCAAGCTGTGGGGAAATCTGGTGGTAAGTTGGCTTGCTATGTAGAATTGTACCACACCAGTTCTTGATATGTCACCAGCTTGTAGCGCCCTGTTTTGTTGCAAAGTTTGGGGAATGCTGTGTTGCGTCAAGCTGTTGGGAATCTCGACCTATGACTCAAGCCGGGTGGGTTCCGACTTGAGCATGGCCGCGTCACCGCCTGTCTTTCGCTCCGCACTTCTCATCCCCTCTGTGTCGGTCTCGCTCTCTCTCGACGGAGAAGAGCAAGCGCTCCTCGCCCGCACGCGAGCAAGGGCTCGCAGGCGAACCCGCATGTCCAGGCAGGGTTTTAAGAACTCCGACGTGTGGCTATGCCCCAAGTGGCTTGGCTATCCCGGCCTCATCTCCGTGCCCCTATGGCAACCACTGACTCTCGGCGGCTCACAACACTTTGGAAAAGTCTCTCTCTCTCTCTCTGCATTTTTATTTCTGCAGGTGAAGAGACAGGGGTCCCCCCACTCATCCGCATTTCAGCGCACCCCATATCGGTGGAACGTGGGCTATCTGCAGAAATCGCCGGGAGAACCCCCTGGCCAACGGCCTACCGCCCAGCATCCCGCTATCCACAGTCGTCGCCATTTTAGGGCTTGGGCTCGACCACTCCCCTCCCTGCACTACAGCCATGCGTCGTCGTCCGGGGCCCGTGGCCGACTGGTCTTCAGCCACTCTTAAAACACCGTGGCAACCACCGCAAAAATATGAACCACCGCCTTGGTCCTCAAGGGCTCATATGTGTTGCAAGTGGCCTTCGGCTGGAGTAATGCGGCCGATAATGCAAAGAAAAAAGCTAATACAGATAGATTGATGCCCAAGCCTGACTTCCGGTGCTCTTCTTGGGGGCTTCACTCCCTAGGTTCCAGCATGCTACTTCACCTCCCGACCTCCAGCCGGAACTGAAGCCTTGCGAGCACAGGCCGCTGGTCTTTTCCTTCCCACCCCACGCTGAAGCCTCGCGCTTGTTGTCGAGGGAGGCCTACACAGCCGCGCAGCAACAAAAAGCTGTCCAGCATGCTCCCATGATCTTCTGTGAATTCTACTGGCCCATGAGTTCACGGGTGAAACTTGACGTCACCCGGTGCCCAGGTGGTCGCTCCTTCCGTTCTGGCACGAGTGCTTCTCCGAGAAGGGTCAGGCGCTCATGTACTCATGTAGTTCCCCGTTGTCCAGGGGCAGTCGGGATGCTCGCGCTTTGGTTCCATACCTCCGGGAACTCCCCCGCATCTGTTCCCGCAGCACGGGCCAACCAGTGCAGGACCACTCTGAGATCATTGATTATGCAGCGGGCGCATGAAGTGGCTCCAAAGGTTCGAAGGGCCGCGCTTGCCTCTTCCAGTGCTGAAGAGCTTCTGGCCTGCTTCGAATCCCCCGTCAAGTCTGCGGCCTGTGCTTTCCTGCGGCTGGGCGGCTGGGTTCCTCAATGTTCGGGAGTTTAGCATCGGTCAAAGCTATTTTGGCTGTGACCTGGATTTCCTCCAGGAGCATGGGCCGTTGTCGTCCCGAAGCCCTCTGTGGTGCTGTGAGCGTGGTGTGGGTGTGGCTGCTGGAGCTTCCGCTTCACTGCTACAGATGACGGTGCGGGTATGTGCGGGTTGCTGGATTGCGACTGGCCAGTTTGCACGAGGCAAGTGTAGGCAGTGCCCCACAACCTCCCCCGAGCAAACGAACATCGGGTCGTCCAAGATCTGTGTAGGCACTAATTACTCTCTGTCTCTCAGCCAGGCAGGTCGAAGCTGATTCCGATACAGCTATCAGATGCTACCAGGCAAGTTCCTTCAGCGCAAGGCTCTCGAAGGAAGGAGTCTCAATACCTTGTGCTTGCAATCGGTTTGAGTATTCTTTGCCGAGGCCACGTCGCCATATTTCCAGCTGCTGAGTCGTGCCCTCTGACGACTTCGAATACACCATCTCGAGCTAAACACAGCTAGCAACACAGTACAGTATTGGGCATGGGGTCCGGAAGAGCTCCGACACTGCGCCTCTCCGTTTGTGTGTGGAAGGTCTGGCTTGAGGCCAACCTCGCCAGCAGCATCCGAACACAATGACGCCGTCTCGGTGTGATCATCGCATGCATTGGGTCACGTCTTGCTCTTCTTTCTGCTGCCAACTGGTCGAATTTGGCACAGTCAGAACAGGATGTCTGAGCTAAGCCCAAAGCAAGAAGTGCGGCAAGTAGAACCTCTGCAATGTAAAAGAAAGCAGCAGATCTGGGAACAGAACTGCTCTCAGGCTTGAGCGGTGCAAAGTTGAACGGACTTGCCAAGACCTTCCGACCTGAAACATGACCACACCAGCGAACCGGCCAGGCCTGTTTTATGCATGTGGTCGCGATTGGTGGGCTGGCCTGCTCCCTTCCGAAACAAGATGCGGCTTTGGATAGCCTGCTGCAGCTCCTCGTCAGCATGTACCTGCTAACTTGTGGTACTTACTAGAACAACAGCCTTCTGTCCCCGGAATGCTGCCTCTACACGTATGCCGGGAAGCTGCAGCTTCGCCACATTCAGGAAGCGACTTAGCAGCAGCGCGAAGTGGATTCATCGACATCAACAGCTCAAGATGCCACTGCGCCAAGGGACGTTGACAGCTCTTGCGTTGTGACAAAGTGAAACCTTGGGAGCGGCGCTTTGCATCACAGGCTGTTTAAGCGCTACTGCCAAAACTTGCGGTTGATGAAGGTACATTCGGGGGGCACAAACCGATGCGACTGCGGTGATGATGACACTGCCGACCGAATGGCCACCACGGCGGGGCCTCAGCTATGCCGATGCCATGCGATGCCATGCGACATGGCAATGGCGAGGTCGAAGCGAAAGTCTGGATCATCGCTGCAAATGCAAAGATGGACAGTCCTGAAGGGATGTCCAAAAGTTGATTCAACCACAACAGTCAATAGATCATCGGTGGATCACTACCTCAAACACAAAGGCCTGGAGCGCGACACATCCGACAACTCCTTTCGTAACAGTCACAAGCATCTGCCAAGACATGGTGTCCCCAGCTCACCTCGACAGGAGCTTGAGCGGGACCGCGATCACCAGCACAGCCCGCGCCGAGCCTCCAATTTCTGAGGTAAGGCTCTCCTGGTGCGTCTTGCAGAACACGAAATTGTAAGGTGCACTCGTGCTAATCTGTGTTGACGTGAGCCAGACCTTAGGATTCTGAGTTTTTGGGAAGATCGGCGCAAGTTACAAAGCTGTCTAAGGGCCATGCGGAACCAAGGATGAGAAAACCGAGCCCCTGGATGCCAGATCACGCGTCTCTGCTATTCCGTGCAGTCCGACTCCTTGCACTGTGTCTTGCAGTATCCCATTGTTGCAAGGCAGGTGGCCAGAGTGAGCCATTGTGATCGCATCGGCTCATGTGCCCGCCAACGTTCTCATGACATTGACTGCTGTCGCTGTTTCTACATTCAGCCCCGGCATTTCTGCCACTGGTTCAGAGAAACTTAAAATGCAGTCATCTTGGGTCTTTGCTTGTGTTGCCCAAGCAACGTCAGAACTCTCCTGGTTGCTTGCATCTCGGTATGTACATCATATATGACATCACTGTATCTTTCCAAGTTTTGCAGTGCTGCCTGCCAAGACACTGCAAGCCCAGGGTAATGTCACTCTTTCTTACCTTCACACTTGGGTGTTGCACCTTGATGTGTCCTGGGACATGCTTACATAAGTGTCCCCACATGTTTCGTGTCCATGCCGCTCGGGTGCACTCCCTTGCTGGATTCGAGCCTCAATGGCTATGCCGAGGCCCCACACTTATAACTGTGTTTAGCCCCTGCCCAACCAGCCATACGATAAACACAGGAACAACAGCTCTGCTGCGATGCGGATCCGTGATCGCTGGAACGAGAATCCACTACTAGCATGGTCATTCATGTTCGCTTCCGTCGCTGGACGCTTTTCACCGCCGCACTGCACCATCTGAGTGCCTGCGCCGACTGCCTGATCAACGCGAATGCACAGCGCTGGTAGTCGAGGCTGACCGTGTTGCTTTCCTCGCAACAAACTTCTGGGCTTGCGACGATCACGACTGCCTCTCCGTCGTGCATCATGTCTTGTTGCTTCACCTAAAGGTCTCAACGCCTCTCAATCTATCTCTCTCTCTTTCTGTTTTTCTTTCGACAGGGCCATGGGTGAGGGAGCTTCCCTCACCGCCCTCACCCGTGCGCGCGTCGGCGCCCGCGCCTGTTGCGGAGGGAGTGGTGAGGCACGCTCGCTCAAACAAGGCCATTATCACGAGCTGTTAGGAAGAACATGCGACATCAAGGGGAAAAACCCCGAAATAAGGTAACTAGAACGACGGTACTGCTCGGACTGCCTTGGTGAGTGCAAGTGCGATCCCCCTCTTTTCGAGGGGGGATTGCATCCTCCCCTGATGCAGCTCGGCATCCAAAACAAAATAAAGATAATAAAAGCTTCAGGCTGCTCGGGGGCGGCATGCGCTGACTCGAAAAGCCAGGGCAGACATTAGGGTGTTGTGCAGATTTAGAGTGCGAAACAGAGGTAGACATGCTCAAGGTATAACACGTGTGCAAAGTACGAAGCAGAGGCAGACATGCTCAAGACACAGGACAGCTCACCCTATTGATCCTGGCATGGCTTGTGCAAAAGCTACAGAGCCGGGCATGACGAGGGCAGCAACAATCTTCACCGAAAAGTACACCAATGCAGGAACGACTACTTGCCTCGGCTTGTTTGGCTACGACCAGGGGCCTTNNGGGGGGGGGGGGGGGGGTGCACAGGAGAGGTGGTTAGGGCAAACAAGGACCGCTAAGCACTTCTGCCTCTCTCTCTCTCTCTCTCGGAAATCTCTGGAGTCAAACCATTTAGACTTGCTGCTACAGGCATCATTGAACATCATTGCAGCGGGGTCGCGAATTTCACGACAACTACGAGAGCTCGCGCTCTCACTGCTACCTTAGCAATGGGTCAAGTTGCAGAGCAGTTCGTTCTGTAGTTCTGGAATACTGTCAAACACAACCTCCATTGGCGCACGAAATGCTGCAGGACATACCCAACTAACAAGAGTCCATGAGTCCATGATCCCTCCGGGTCATATGTTGTTCTGGATCAAGTTCCTCTTCCAAGTGCCTCGTGGCCCGAAGCCAAACTTCTCTGCCCCTCGGATTCCGGCTGTGGCTGTTGCTGCGTCCACGCCTGACAATGGAATCGTCTACAGTGTGTTGGGCACGTGCAGGATCCTCGAAGCCTCTTGCCAAACAGCAGAAAACCGGAAGCAGGAATCCGGGAGCCCAAGAAGAACTCTCTGGACCCTCCTTTTCTGCTCCAAAATCGACATGTCATTTGCCGCCATTGCATGATCTCCCGGCAGCATTCTGTACAGATGACGGCTCAGTCTTCAACATAATCCAAGAGATTTCGAAGCATCACCCAGGCTCTGGTAAGAACACCGACTGGTGGTTCATGGTGGCTCCCGATGGACAAGACTTGCTGGATAAGTGAAACTGATGCAGAAACGACAGGGCCGAACCGAATGCCGTTGAATCCTAAGAAAGATTCTTAACCCTGGAATTCCGTATTTGCACCTGGGTGAAGCACCAGAAGAAACTACCGGGACCGCTCTGCGGGAAGTTTGCAAAACAAGTCATGGACTCCGCATAGATTTCCGCATGCCGGCCCCCTTCCCACTGGCACGAAACCCACACGTTGCACCCGGCGGGTTAAGTCTTGAGACAAGACTCGTGCTTCGTGCATCTGAGAGCAACAGTGCGAGCTCGTGCAAATCCGTGCACTTGACAAGCTTTCGCAAGAAAGGCTCCCTGCAAGTTGCGGGCTAGCCGCCAGCCGCTCCAAATCTCAGGAAGATTTCTCAGAGCCACAGAGCCATGGCATGGCAAATGGCCCCCGGAAAAGCTCTGGCCAGGAGCTAAGAGGATCGCACAGCACGGCACACCTTCCCTCTTCAGAAAGACTTCGAAGTGGCCCGGCTTCACATCGCCTGTAGACATTTCTAAGACCAAATGGGCTGGGCAGCACTGTCGTTGCTGCAGAAAGCCGGTACCTGCCCACCAGGTTAGGCGCTAAGGCGGTTAAAGGCAACTTTGCGCAGATATATAGCCCGACCCTCGCGCTTCTTCAGGCCGCACCTCGCCCAAATGTGCTGGTTTCACTGATTGATGACATCGAGGCCCGAAGCGGTCACCAGCAACTGGCCACGCGTGTGCCTGGCTTCTGGAGTGCTGGCTGCCACATAAAAGAAGTCGCAGATTGCAAGTAAGAAGTCAACGCAATAATTCAATGGCCTCCATCTTGGGAATGCGCTGTGCAGGCAACCTCACGTAAGACCAGGCCGAGTGACCCTCCAAACGCCGAGCACAGCACATGTGCTGGGAATCTGACGCCAACGATTCCCTGTAATGGTAGCGAGCCGAAGTGAGAAGCCTGCACCCGTGACGACCTGGCTGTCAGCCAAGCAAAGCTACATCGTCTGGCATCTTTACTGTTGCGTCTTGGCAGGCCTCTCGCCCGCCGACGCTTGCGACATTGAGGTGGTGGACCTCCACGTGGATTTTCAGAGACAGCCTTGGCAACTGCACTCTCTGGCACAAGCAAGACATGAGAAGATACCCGCGGAAGCGGAGTCGGGTTCCGAGACCGCTGCAGATTGCAATCGCTCTTCCATAGTTGACAGCTTTTGAGCCGCCGATTGGTGATTGTCCATGAGTTGCTGCAATGTGTAGCGCACGAAGCGGGTAGCCGTCTTTGATTCGAAAGCCCACCGGGACAGCGTGACCTTAAACTCATCAGGGTCGATGGTGCCCCCGCCGTCGTGGTCCAACATCCCGAACAGCTGCTCCAAGTCAGCCTGGCATCCAACACGCTAACATATCAACTATGATGCCGCACTCACACTTCCTGCTCAAGCATTCGGATCATGGTCGTTTACTCCTACCGATCCTACCAAGCTACCAAATGCTGATTCCAGGAGAACAGGCCTGATCTATGTCCATGACTCGAAGTCGGTTTTGGAACTCTCGCACTCTTCTAGCTCCATCTACAAGCTCTTGAAGAGTCAACTCGCCATCACCTCAACTGCGGCAGATGGTTTCACATCATGCAAAACAAGAAATGCTCTTGGAGGAGCAAAGCTGGTGCCTTCAAGATCTCACTCATGCCAAGATTCCGTCACCGTCGATCTCGGCAAACATCTTGTCTAATTTCCTCAAATCTTCTTCTTCGTTCTCCTCCATCTCCTGCGATGGATGCAGCAGTGATGCAACCGAACGTGTCAATTGATAGGTGCTTTTATAGTTCTTCTGTGCCACACTTGACTGCGGCCAATCACGCCACGACACGATTGCCATGTTCGTCACATCCTTCGTGCGTTGCTCGGCGAATGTGTCCACCACCACAGCAACCACCAGATTCAGGACACCAAAGACAATGGTCAGGTGCGAACCTGACTTCTTGAAGGTTCATGGGAATCTGAGCCTCGCTGCCACATGTCTGGTTTTAGGGAGTATCGGGGCTGGCAGCTCACAAAGGACAATCATGTTTCCTGTGACCCTCCATCTACTCAACTCTAAGTAAGAACTTGCAACACAGCACAACACCTGATTGGAATACAATGCAAAGGATGAGGGTTGCTACTGCCAAAAGTGGTGGAGATCTTTTCTCGTTGCAGGTGTGCAGACATGGCCTTGAGGATTCAGTTTTTTTGCACTCGCGCTCGAAGGTCAGTAGGGCTCTTGAGGATTCATACAGCGCTTGTAATTGCATGGGCGTGTTGTCCTTACCTCGCATTGAACCTAAAACAAGTGTATGACAAGTACGAGCTGAGTAGGGGAAAAGGGCCTCCTCTGCCAGTGGGCCAACCCACGCAAACCAAGCCAAGGAGTCTGAATCTCTGCAACAACTCCGCATCCGCAGAAACCTAGCACCTAGCTTTGCCTGAAAACCATCTGCGGCAATCTATCAAGCAACACGTCTGAACTGCAGTACGGAAGCCCATGAAAATCACAATAGCCAGCGGAAACTCCTGTATCACCGGTACCGCCACTTCACCCCAGCTGTCTCCGGCGATAACGGTCTTGAAAATCAAGAGGTTGGCATTCATAACCTGGCTATGAATGAGCAGGTATTTGCAGCACAGCATGCCGTGTTGAGCTGCACCATGTCTCCGCCACACGCACACCATGCATGTCTTGGCACAGAGTTCAAAGAGTTCGAACAGAAATCGCCACATTCCTGCCAATGATCCTTGGCGAATGGCAGTGACACAAACTGCTGAAAATCACTGGTTAATGCAAGTCACCTCCACCAAAGAAGGTATAACAGGCTGCAGCATCTCCACAGCCAACATGGCCCAAGAAGTCATAACAATAAAACCTCG